ACGAACTTCCTCCTTTACCAAAAAAAAAAAAAAAAAACAGAACACAACTAACTGTAAGAAGAAATAGGAATCTGGATCCGTACAAGTCAAAAGGTCAACTCTTTATTGCGAAAAACACAAAATTGAGATCAGAATTACGAAACCCAGATTGGGAATTGTGAAAGTAAGTAACTTTAACAAGTTCATTGAACTGATTCCATTAACTACACACAGAGAGGATGAACATTGAAACAGTAACCTAAACACAATAAAAATCAAAACTTTATTACCAGGTTCGATTCCCGAGATCAACAGAAACTAAAAAAACTCTTAACAGTTTCTTAAATCGCAGCAATAATGAAGCACGCTATAAGACTTTACCAGATTCGGCAAAAAAATATATAAATTGATAAATTTTTAACTAACCTCTCTTGAAGAGAAGAAGAAACAGAGCTTTGGGATGAACAGTAATCGCGACTTGGGAGTGGAAAAACAAAAGAGGGATTTTGGGGGAAAATTATTAGAGACGGATAGATCGCATATTCTTCTTAATTTCTTTTGTTTGTGTTTTTTTTGGGCTTCAGAAGCTTCTGTTTTGTGAAAGTCAACGTTTAGTCAACGACGCACGTGATGAAAAAAATTACACAGCTGGAGATATAGCTAACTGACCAATCATGTTACTTGGTTTTGTTAAAAAGTTGAGTTTGAAAGTCAGCACATTCAGACATAAGTCACACATAACGGGTCGGTTCGGTCGGGTTAAAATCCCAACACCTTTCTATTACATCAACTACTGAGCTCTAATCGTAGATTAAAGAAGATAAACACATCACTATCCAGTTTATTACTGGATAGGTCATCAAACCCGTTGATTAATTAGTACCCAAGCCGAGGCAAACGTACAACACTTCCTTCCACGTCAGCACAAAACGCTCCAAATCATCATCATCAAAATCTCTCTTCATTCTCCAGCCAGCAGCTTGTTCTTCAAGAATCGTTTACACTTCCGCCGCCGAACCCAAACTCCTTCCTACTTAACGCTTTTGCTCGCTGCCTCGTGTCAAAAAGATGTCGGCAGTGTCGTAAAGGATCTACATGTAGTTGAAGATAGACCTTAACCTGAACATTTGATCACACACATTTTAGAATATTTACTCATACGTCTTTCACTTTTATCGTAAAGATTTCACTAATTTTTTTTTGTAGTATTTAGCATAGGATCAAACTACGTATGTCTTTTTTTCCCCAATTGATTTTTTGTAATATTTAGCAATTAGCATAGGATCAAACTACTTATATCTTTTTTTCCCAATTGTTTTTTTTTGTTGTAATATTTAGCATAGGATCAAACTATCGTATGTATTTTTCCCCCCAATAAAAAGTTAGTATTAATAAAAATAAAAAGTTAGTATTAATGATGCATTAAAATAAATGGGCTTTTAAGCATGGGGCTTCATTGAAAGCAAAATGAATTAATGTGTGCACACTTTTAAAACACTTGCACAAAGAACTGAGGAAGTACCCCCACCAGAAGTAGAAAATATAGGATGCTGTATTATTCATTTACAACAATTATTCGGTTTGCTTTAAATTGTTATTTCTATACTTGCTATATGTTAATTAAGTTACATACGTTATATAGGTTGTAAGAAGATTATTAGGATCAAGAGGCCAAGACTTGGAATTTATAAGTTCCGGCCATGCGGGAGACAGTAGGGTCACTATCACGTGTCCGAACACCGTTCCGTCATTTGTCTCCATACCATCATTCCTAGGTCACCATTGATCCCTGGTCCTCGGATTCTATACGCCTCGTGTCAATCCTCTTGCATCATTTTTTTTATAGTGAGGCCCGTAGCTTTGATTGATGTTATGCCGTTACATTCGATTTTTATCCATTCATTTCCCGGTTTTTATTTTATTAGTTACGTCAGCTTATTTTACATATCACAACAAAAGCTCACATTAAAGAAAACACTGAATCCACAGTCTCAAGTCAATGATAATAAAACCTTAAAACGCATATTATTAATTGCATAGGTCAGATCCGACATGTGTGGAAGCAATCATCATACAAGTGAGTACTAATCTAACGTTTATTATTGGGTAAAACTATCTCTAGTGGATGACGTAGTAATGAAAACAAATGCAAAGTGCGGATTAGGAGATGAAAAGAGTTTTAAGGGTACGACCAATAAAATCGTTGAAGGGGCATATGTCTCTTGGACTCTCCCACGACTAAGGATCGCTTATTTATATAATTAAAAAAAAAAATAATTAGTTCCCTTTTGCCTCTTCATTACTTGCAAAATAAACACTATGGACATGGCTTATACAATCATTTCACGTCATACATTATAAAAACAATAAAATTCTGAAAGTCACATAAACATACACCCACAAAGTTGAACCAAATCAGTTGCCTCCCTCTTATGTTAACCTTTAGATTTTGTTCGCTTGTGATATGTTGATAACAATTTTTAAAATTTAAACCAAATCAGTTGTCTCCCTCTTATGTTAACCTTTAGATTATGTTCACTTGTGATATGTTGATAACAATTTTTAAAAAGCATCTTCCCGTTATTGATAGAATGGATAAAGCTAAATGTAATTAAGTCAGCAAAGTGGGCACGTAGATGTAATGTGAATGAAAAATACTTCATGAGCCCTACCAGGTCAAGTTACAGCTACAGCTTTTAGCATCCAGCACGAGTCATTATACCCGTTTCTTAATATTATTGATTTGACTTCAATTTGTATCTTGAGACAAGTGGTTAATGATATCATCTTTGGATATGATTATATGAGTCATGTAAAACTGAAACAGCCCTTAACTATATTGTTAAATAAAACCTTGTGTTCATTCTTTCCAGTTGTGATCAATTTTTAGAACGTTTAATATATCTATATTTGTAATAAACTACAGGATGAACAAAGTCGCCTCTCGATTCCTTAAAATCTCACAGCTTATGCGGTTGAATTCTAAATTCCAATACATAAAAAATTGTGAATAGTGGAGGCAATAAGAAAATCGTGATTGAGAATAATAAGTAAAATAATTATAAATTAGAAAGAAGTCATAGATGTCACAAAAAGCAAAGGAATATGACGTGGGACATTGCCTTTGATCGCCATTGGATGGTTGGCAAAGAATATTTGAGGGTCCTACTACGTGACATTATCCTTTGATCAGTTTATATAATAAAACATTATTATTATTATTATTATTATTATTATTATTATTATTATTATTATTTTCTTAAAAGACTTAATAAAACATTATCTAAAAGTGCCAAATATCTCAAAAGAGTCGAGTTTAAGTTGTAACTTGTAATTTGTAATCCAATACAGATTATGAACCAGAAAAGTAATCACAATTCACACGCACCTAAGACATAATACCTACCAAGTAATGAAATACAAGAAATGCGATAGTGCCATTGGTAGCATGCAGTAGTAATTGTTTGTACTTTCTCGAAATATATAACGTTCGATTGTTGAACGTACTATAATTATCACTTAGTGATCTATTGGAAGAGTGGCATATATAATATGAAGAAGGAAAGATGTTTAGAATATGCCATGGGTGGACGTGGAAAAATGGCTCTTTGAGTCGTCCAAAAGCTGCCTCAAAAACAAAGGGGTTGTGTGTCAGTTTGGCCTCGTCTCTAACCTTTTGGTCTAACCACATGCTGAGATATCGTATATCCATCTTTATTATCTTTAGTATATGATATATGTCACAACTATTTAATTTCTCCCGATCATTTTATTATTATTATATGCTGATATTTGAGAGTATTTGTTTTTGTTTTATAGAGGACTTCCTTTCTATGTAGCGTATACATTCATAAGCTATATGCCTATATGTTTATAAAGTCGAATATCCAACCAAATACACATGGAATTTGCTTGTTTCTAAATGGGTCTAATATTTAAATTTTAATATGAGTCATTCTAGTCATTTTAAGATCAATTTAAGTAATTCCAAGTAATTTCTCGTGTATATATCTTATGCATTATTAGCATTGTGGTAAATAGTGATTATTAGTCAAAACTGAAATAATAGTAGACAGGATGAATGAATCATTTGTTGTAAAGTACTACTCCCTCTGTTTCATTATAAGTGTCACTCTACAGCTGTGCACACGGATTAAGAAAACAATTAATTTTACATATTTCCTATACAAAAACACAGTTACCCATACACCTAACCATATTTTAACCAATAGAAAAACAAATTACATAATAAATTAATAAATTTTGCATTGAAAACCGAAAACGACACTTATTTTGTAACGCAAAAAATTCTCTACAATGACACTTAATATGAAACGGAGGGAGTAGTAATTACTTCGAGTTTATTCTATATAAACAAAACATTGGTTACTATTTTGCTACCGTGTCATGAAGTGAGACAAACCATGGGGATAAACTAAACACCGTCGGAAATTTTCAATTTATCTCAATAAAAATTAACATTGGTTAACAAGTCTTTATAACTCGCTGGTCCCAAATACTTGCCATCCACGAAAAAGGGACGAAATTATGAACCCTAAACTAATTCCAAGAAAAGAAAAACAACAGTTTCCTTAAACAAAAAGGTTAAGTAGCTTGCTTGTTTCTCCTCCTCCGTTACCATATTGAGCCCCAGATGCAGAGTTATCCCAAAACGTCGTCGTTGTAGTCGTCACTGACTCCTCTGAGTTCATCGACGGTGTTCCTAATCGCTGCCGTGTGGAAGAAGGCATTGTTTTCATGGGTAAACTAGGGTTTGGTGATATATCGAGCTTACGTTTCCTTGGAGAAGAATCCAGCGTAGATCTTGATCTAGAGCTTGAAAATCTGGAATGATGGTAGATGTTACGATCGTTGGAACCATCACTCTTCTGGAGATTCAACATTTCCGTGCAGATCTCAGATGCTTCTTCAGATGTAGCCGATGGAAACCCGCCGTGAGTGAGAAGCTCAGGAACAGGTCTCAAAGAACCGCCTCTAAGCACCGTCTCAACAGCAGCTTGGCAGATTCTCCAGTTTCCCGTCCACAACATTCCGATAGCTCCGTTGACTGGATTCACAGTTCTTCCACAAGCTTCGTATAGCAAAGACTTAAACAAAGCTGCATACAGAAAAAAAAACATATATCAAGATATTAGAAAACCAGACGCAAGTTTGAGATCTCTGGTTTAGTTAGGTAAGGTTATGTACCGGGACGTTGAGATTCCGGTACGCCGGAGATAAAGGACATGAGACCGGCACGGCCGAAGAATTTGGCCACGAAGACTGTGGCGTGGCCTTGAGCATCGGCGGTTTCTATCCATTGAATACATGGCCGGAGGATGCAGTTCTCGCTGCAGCCTTTCCGGAGCACACGGCAACCATTGCAACTCATTTTGTTCCGACAAGATTCAAGATTTAAACTGTTTGTCTGCTGAGTTTTGTGCAAGAAAGTGATATTTGTGCAGAAGAAATATAAGATTAAATGATTCTGAAGACAGAAGACCACTATATATAGACATAAATACTTATGTATTAAAATCCAAGTTGGAATTTAAAAAAATTATTTAGACACAAGGAACTTTTGGGAGAAGGTTCTTACACTGTATACATTAATACATATCTTAAAAAAAATATAACTGCGATTTATTCCACATGAAATATAGGATTACTTTCTCGCTCTTTTTGGCCAATTTAAACCGTATTACATTTTTAATAATTTGTGTATATTTTTGTGACGTTTATGAAGTGGCCTTAGAGAGTAGTCAAGATTCCAAGATGGTGTGTGTGAGCGGCTCCGTTTCTCCGCGAAAAGTTGGGTCCTCTCTCAGCCATTCATTAATTAAAAAGCATCTATACTTGTAATAATTATAATCTCTCTTTATTCTTATTGTAGTTTTTTTTTTTTTTTGTAACATATCTTATTGTAGAAATATTTGCTATATTTTTAATGCAAATATAAGGCTGTTTACGGGTCCTTTTCTTGACGGATTCGGAATCCCCTGATCAATCAACTTTATATAGTAGATCAGAGTAAATGGAGGTTAGTAATCGATGGAATTACGCAAAAGAGCGTCAATATTAATTGCGTACATACCTGGTTAATGAGTTGGGTGAAATAATATAATCATGGTTTAGGCTTTATAGGAAGCTTATCCTTTTTTCATGGAATGCTAATCATAACAACCATTTTTGGTATGATATGTAAAAAGATCACATGCAATGCATTCAAGGGAGTTAGTGAACTCAACATTCGTCGTTGCGTACTATTCTCCATGCGAAGTGAGTTATAGAACCTATGGGAAGTTTTTAAAATAAACTTATTTACAACTATAACGAAAATAATTTTTTAATAAGATATATCATCTTCACCGAATACAAAAATTTAACACTGTACAATAATAAGTTTATTACGTGCTATATTATATCATATAGAAGACATATATATATATATATATATATATATATATATATATATATTTGGAGTATGGTTCGGTATTTTTAAAGAACATGTAAAATGCTAAATAGTATAGATAGTATATATTCCATTTTTTTATAAATTTTCATGAAATATGTGGGTTAACTCCTATGAAAAAGTTGGATTTTCTGTTAAATACTATATATATATATTATTTAACATCTTTCGTGTTGTTTAAAAAAAACCTAAACGTACTCCAAATTTTTATATATGTTTGCTAAACTTATCTTTATGGTATATTGGAATAATTTCTAATTTTCCAATGATTAATTTACTTAACATTCATATACCACTTAATATGTGGATTAACCCCTATAAAAATCCTATTTTCTGGAGAAACATAAATATTTAAGATCTCGAACCTATTTAATTTTCATACTATGACGGTGTATGATGCATCTATGCATTAAAACAAAAATTTCATTTTTTATAATTTTTCTTGAAATATGTGGGCCAACCCCCATGAAAAAGCTAGATTTTCCATTAAATACTATATATACTATTTACAATATTTTGTGTTGTATAAAAAAAACCTAAACGCACTCCAAATTTTTATATATGTTTGCTAAACTTATCTTTATGGTACATTGGAATCATATCTAATTTTCAAGTGATTAATTTATTTAACATTCATATATATCTTAATATGTGGATTAACCCCTATAAAAATTCTATTTTCTAGAGAAACGGAAACATTTAAGGTCTCGAACCTATTTAATTTTCATACTATGACGGTGTATGATGCATCTATGCATTAAAACAAAAATTTCATTTTTTATAAATTTTCATGAAATATGTGGGCTAACCCCTTTGAAAAAGCTGAATTTTCCATTAAATACTATATATACTATTTACAATATTTTGTGTTGTTTCAAAAAAACCTAAACGCACTCCAAATTTTTATATATGTTTGCTAAGCTTATCTTTTTGGTACATTGGAATCATTTCTAATTTTCCAATGATTACTTTACTTAAAATTCATATACCACTTAATATGTGGATTAACCCCAATAAAAATCCTATTTTCTGGAGAAACGGAAACATTTAAGGTCTCAAACCTATTTAATTTTCATACTATGACGGTGTATGATGCATCTATGCATTAAAACAAAATTTTTCATTTTTTTATAATAAATATGTGGGCTAACCCCTAAGAAAAAGCTGAATTTTCCGTTAAATACTATATATACTATTTACCATCTTTCCTGCTGTTTAAAAAAAAACCTAAACGCACTCCAAATTTTTATATATGTTTGCTAAACTTATCTTTATGGTACATTGGAATCATTTCTAATTTTCCAATGATTAATTTACTTAACATTCATATACCACTTAATATGTGGATTAACCCCTATAAAAATCCTATTTTTTGGAGAAACGGAAACATTTAAGGTCTCGAACCTATTTATTTTCATACTATGATGGTGTATGATGCATCTATGCATTAAAACAAAAATTTCATTTTTAATAATTTTTCTTGAAATATGTGGGCTTAACCCCTATAAAAAAGCTGGATTTTCCATTAAATACTATATATACTATTTACAATATTTTGTGTTGTATAAAAAAAACCTAAACGCACTCCAAATTTTATATATGTTTGCTAAACTTATCTTTATGGTACATTGGAATCATTTCTAATTTTCCATTCATTAATTTACTTAACATTCATATACCACTTAATTTGTGGATTAACCCCTATAAAAATCCTATTTTTGGAGAAACGGAAACATTTAAGGTCTCGAACCTATTTAATTTTCATACTATGACGGTGTATGATGCATCTATGCATTAAAACAAAAATTTCATTTTTTATATTTTTCTTGAAATATGTGGGCTAACCCTATGAAAAAACTGGATTTTCCATTCAATACTATATATACTATTTACCATCTTTCGTGTTGTTTAAAAAAAAACCTAAACGCACTCCAAATTTTATATATGTTTTCTAAACATAAACTTATGGTACATGGGCATCTTAGTTTTCCAATGATTAATTTATTTAACATTCATATATATCTTAATATGTGGATTAATCCCAATAAATATTCTATTTTATGGAGAAACAAAAACATTTAAGGTCTCAAACCTATTTAATTTTCATACTATGACGGTATGATGCATCTATGCATTAAAACAAAATTTTAATTTTTTTATATTTTTTTCTTGAAATATGTGGGCTAACCCCTAAGAAAAAGCTGAATTTTCCGTTAAATACTATATATACTATTTACCATCTTTCCTGCAGTTTAAAAAAAACCTAAACGCACTCCAAATTTTTATATATGTTTGCTAAACTTATCTTTATGGTACATTGGAATCATTTCTAATTTTCCAATGATTAATTTACTTAACATTCATATACCACTTAATATCAGGATTAACCCCTATAAAAATCCTATTTTTTGGAGAAACGGAAACCTTTAAGGTCTCGAACCTATTTAATTTTCATACTATGACGGTGTATGATGCATCTATGCATTAAAACAAAAATTTCATTTTTTATATTTTTTCTTGAAATATGTGGGCTAACCCCTATGAAAAAACTGGATTTTCCATTCAATACTATATATACTATTTACCATCTTTCGTGTTGTTTAAAAAAAACCTAAAC